TTGATGCTCTTTTAGAAGACCTGGGTTCAACTCCTAGCACCCACATGGGTGCTCACAACCATCTAACTCCAGTTCCAGGGGATCACATGCCCTGTTCTGACCTCTTTGGGTACCAGGCATGCACAGACATAAATGCAGGCAAAACACTCAGATATGTAAAAAATTAATAACAATGATGTAATACTACCATATAATATTATACCATAAACATAATGGTATAATATAAATACATTTTACTATCATTGTAGTTTTGAAAAAATCAAATGAAATTTCTACTAAAAAAAACTACCTGGCAAACTTTCATTAACTAGAAGGGATAGTATGATGACACAGAAGCATCCCTTGAGTGACTATCACATCTCAGCCTTGCTACCAGTCTTAGGCCACAGAACTACCCCTGCTGAGCCTTCATTTATTCCTCTGAAAATACGGTAAGGGTGGGGATGTCTTAAATGACCTCAAGGTCATTCAGTGCTATGATTTCATAATTATAAATTTTCAAGGGGAAGGTATTATATAAACTTAATTCCAGGCAATGACAATCTTTAAATAAAGTACTGGCATTATAATCTCGGTGGCAGAGTTGAGGGCTTGTGTGAAAATATTTACAATGGTGTGTGCCTCAAAGTAGGCATTTTGTTTCATTCATTTAGAAAAGTTCTTTTATTTTTCTTATTTATTTACTTGGGTGTATTGTATGAGTCCTCCAGTGCCATGGTGTGGGGTTTGGTTGTCTCCATTTACCATGTAGGTTCTGGGGATTGAACTCAGGCCATTAAGGTTGGCAGTAAAAGCCTTTACCCATTGAGCCATCTTTCCTGTTTCATTAATTTTGAGTTCTAAGTGTGTGTCTGCATATCTGTATATGTGGCTATAAGCATACGTGTGTATGGTTGTGTGTGTGGACACCTGAGGTTCAGTGAGTTCCTTGACAATTTTCCACCTCTAAATTTTTCTAATTATTTGGAAAATATTAATTCTTTGAAAATGTCATATTTTCATCATCTTAGTCAGTTTCTATTGTTGTGGAGACCCCATAACCAAGGCAGCTCATAAAAGAAAGCATTTAATTGGGAGTTTGCACATAATATCAGAGGTTTAGTCCATTATCATCATGGCAGGAAACATCCTGGCACACATGGTACTAAAACACTAGTTCAGAGCTATATCCTAATCTGTAGGCTGAAAGAAAGAGCCTGGACCTGGTGTGGGCTTTTAAAGCCTCAAAACACACCCCCAGTGCCATGCTTCCTTCATCAAGGCCACACCTACTCTACAAGTCCTTACTTCCTAATCCTTTTCAAACAGTGCCACTCCCTGGTAACTAAGCATTCAAATAACATGATCCCATGGGGGGCATTCTTATTCAAATCGCCATGTGCATACAATGTATTTTGATCATGTTCACCCCCAACTCTTCTCCCTAATTCATTTTATTTTTGAGGAGGGGTCTCACATGGAACCTGGAGCTCACCACTGGCTAGACTGGATGGCCAACAAACCCGAGATCCTGGGACACTGACACCTCAGAAGCTCTAGAATTTCAAGTGTATGCTGCTGGGAATTTGAACTCAGGTACTCATGCTAGGGTGGTATGCACTTTACCAACTTAGGCATCTCCTTAGCACCAATTCTAATATTTTGATAGCTAACAAAGTCAAGTTACATAATCATATAGATTACATATTACATATATATATATGTACAAACACACACACAAAATTATACACATTCTTATATATTTCTGTATTAAGTACTTACATTAAGGAACCAAAAAGTAAACTTCAGAATCATTAGGTCTTAAGAGTTGGAAGGGACTTAATGTCATGCAGACAACCTTCCCTTTCTGGAGAGTCCTATCATGTGCTGTCCTTGATTATGCCTTGGTTTGCTGACCACTCTCTGACAGTAGTTGGTGTGGGCCAGACAACTTGTCCTCAGAGCATCTCTGAAGACATGCCCCCCAGCCCCTGACTCCATATTCTTTCTCTAGATTTGGCAGGGGGAACAGTATTTCTTTTTGTTTTTTGATACAGGAGAAAGAGAGTGAGCATGACCTAATTTCTACAAACCTCCCTTCCTGTCTCTATATCTTCCTTTTTTCTCCAACCATTTCTTACAAATTTCCAGAAACAGTGCATCTACATTCCCCTTAAATCTGGTTTTGTATTGGATGCAATCCTTGAAGTGTGATCTGAAAGGACAGTCTATGGGCCCATATGGAATTATGGCCACAGCAGGTAATTTAGCAGCCCTCCCTGCTTCCACATACACACACTTTGTTGGATCATACTGTGTGTCTGTGGAATAAACTCCTGAATGAACCACTGACAAGCCAAGGCTCTCCCCTTTAACAAAATCTAAATGTTGAGCTTCACATTTATTTTTGTTAACTTTCTTCGTGATGGTTTCAGCCCTTCCTGTTCCAACCTGTCGAGATCGTTCTGCATGTTGATACTGACATCCATCATATTAGCAGATCCCTCCCAGCTTTCTGTCATCTGCAAATGTGATCAGCATGCTCCTGTGTCTTCTTCCAAGTTTTTGATGAAAGCTCACTGTATTTTTTAAAAAGTCTTTTAATTTAGTTGATTTTGGTCCAATTTTTGATAATTTTGTAGAGCTATCTAAATGCAGGAGAACCCAAGCAATGGAGATCAACCTGATTCCAAAACAATGCAATTAAAATAAATATGCTTTGCAAAATTGAGCTGGCCCTCAAAGGTAGCATCAGCATGACCCAGACTTTGGCATGAGCGATCTGTTATTTGGGGCAAAGCTAACAATTAAATTGGATAAATGTTTGTTGATGAAGATGATGACTCCAGACTAACAGACTGAACAGTGCAGAAACAAGCAAACACACTGGATTGATTTTTTTCAATGTAGAGACAGTTCCCAACTGGAAGATATTGCCACTGCATGAGAAATTAGGCCATGGAGACTGATAATTAGATATTTTGGGGACATAATGTCATTCTTGGGGGGGGGGCAACTTTTCTGGATTGACCATCAGTAGCAATGCCAAATGCCTTGGGATGTTGTCAGACTGCATGCCACAGCCTTAGGTAAAGCAGCACCTATAAGCTTCACTGATGCAGATGAATTGCAGAGGGAGAGGCAGAGGTACTTTGGGGAGGAGAGTCTTCATGTCCAAATACCCTTATAGTTCCTACCCTCACTGCAGCCAGAGAGTGTGAGATGTGGCTCCTAATTTGACCTCTGATACACATATTTTGCTGTGTGACCTTGGACCAGTCAACTCTTTCACCTCTCCTTGTTTTGGTTTCCTTATTTGGACCATGGGGATAATAATGCTTATCTTAATGGTGTTACTACATGGCATCGGACAGTGTAGTGTCTATAGTTATTAGCACATTTGGTAAATAGCCAGGGTAAAAAGTTTGATCAAAGTGACAATATACAAGGTACCATGCTGAAGTTTTGACAAATGTCATCATATTTAATCTTCACAAATAATCCTGGGAAGCAGATAATATTACCAAGTAACCAGATGAGGAAACTGAGGCTTTAAAAGATCAGTTTCTCAAGGTCACCCATCTAGCAAATGCTGGCATTGGGATTTTCATCTAGACTTGCCTGCTTTCAAAGCCCAAGCCCTTAGTCAGAGCATTATTCTGTTATACTATTATACTATTTGAGACTTGACTTTCATCAAGAGATGCTACTTACAATCAGAATAAGAGTCCTCAACCTTTGGTGCTGAGGATCTACCAGGCTACTTATAGGGAGTCTTGTGATCAGGTGTAGAGAGGGCTCTGCTGCCTAGAATGAGGGAGGGGAGGGCAAGAGGATCTCAGCATGTGCACTATCATTTCTGTCAACACTGTAGCCTAAAACGAGGCCACACAGCAAGGGCATACTTACTCCTGTTCTTTGCCAGGCATTCACCCAGATGCTGGAAATGCTGAATTAGCCATGGGAAAGGCAATCAGATCAACCAAAGGGAGACCCCTACACCAGCCTCTCTTCATTTGTGTTTCTAAGCTTATCTTCAAGTGGAGGTAATGCCCCGTCTAGCTCATAGCAGTTTCAAGGGAGCAATGAGACAGTATGATATCGTGTCTAACACAAAGAATTATTATTCAGTAACTAGGGCCATTTTTCTCCTCTTCCATCTCCACTGACTGTATTTTACTAGAACTCTGCTTTTCAAAGTCCTATAAAAATGGCCTTATCTTGTTTGTAATTTTTCTCAAAAATCTTCTATGGCCCTTTTCAATGATGTTCAATTTAGGAAAATTTGCAGACTTCACACTGGTGATTTTTTTTATGATGTCCTATGTTAAATTAAAGTGTTGATATGTTTTGGTTGGCTGAAATAACAACACTGGTAATCATTTATGCTTTTCAAAATGTTTTTGTCATCCTTGTGTAACTGATGCTCAAAACCCTCCTCTGGTGTTAAATATGGTAATCATTTCCACTGCAGGGAGGAGAAAGCCAAGCACAGGAGCCAGGTGACACAGGCAGGAAACAGAAAAGGCAGCATTCCATCCTAGACCTCCTGATGCCCTCTGATGCCATGGCCAGGTCTTGCTCCTCCCCATGGTCTATTCTCCCCAAATTAGCATCAAGTTATCAATGAGGGTGGAATTGGGTAGACTGCCTAAGGATAATTTGAGGCTCACTTAGAGGGCTTGATCACAATATGAGAAACACAACGGTCACAATTTCTAAAGCATCAAAGAACTACAAATTGTAGTTCATCTGTGCAGCTTTTCCTTGGCACCACCAGGAATCCTGCAGCTATAGTGTGACAGGTGTATCCCTGTCAGGGTCATTGTTAAAGCATTTAGAGATTCAATAAAGCAAAAATTATTTGGTATAGTGAATGCACTAGCTGCTAAATGAAATGAAAACTACAGAAAAGGTAGGCTACTGACTAGCACAATGTCAGGCACAGTCATTTATCAACTCTTGTTACTATTGTCATGAATGGCGTATCATAATCATTCAATAACATCCGTAGAACTTACTCTGGAATAATCAAGATCTCTGGGTGTTGCATCTGTTAAAGCTCGGACAAGGGCATTCATCATACAGATTGGAGGAGATGGTGGGGAAGGCTGCGAGGGCTCCTGCTGTAGTGGGCTCTTTGGTTTGGAAGGCAGCCGGCCTCTCCTCCCTTTCAGACTATCTGTACGCACAACTGATAAGACACGCACACAGAGAGAGAGAGAGAGAGAAGAAGAAAAACAATGTTTAAAGATCACATTCGGAACAAGCATAAATCACGAAAAGGAATCCAAACACATTAGAGTTTGGCAGTGATGAATGAGATCCACCATTTCAAAGCAGTGTTAAGTTTAGAATAATGCTCAACAGTGATTGAGCAAGAGTTGAAATAATGAGGAAAAAAAAGATATTCCATACTTACATTTGCTGATGGGTTAGCTCTGAAAATCTCCTTGTCAAATAGACAATGGCTTTTTAAAAATTGCTTTTTGAGAAATTGGAATAAGCAGCCCTTAATGTTACGCTAGTGTAAATATAAATAACCATTGAACGATGTTTGAAAGAAAGAGAAACTAGGAAAATTTGCTGCCTTAATATAAATATTAGCAGATTTCCCTGTTTGAGGATATTCATAAGCAAACCGGATGAGAAGCATATGTTCTTACCTTCTTTAACCATCCCCACACTGAGACACTTTTGAAATCGGCAGTACTGACATCGATTTCGACGTCTCTTGTCTACTGGGCAGTTTTTATTTGCCAGGCAAACATATTTTGCATTTTTCTGCACCGTTCTCTGAGAAAATATAATACAGAGATAGTCAACTAATAGTTTCTGGAAAGAGGTAAGACCTGACAAGATGTATTTTAATTACAATGTGAAAAGCGACAGTGCAATTTGTATAATTAGATAAATTTAATTTCCTAACACGCTAGCCTGCAGGAAAAACAATTTTATTAGTGTTCCTGGCTGACAGTGAAAATCATCTTGGGTTGTTCTGAAGCGAGTCTCAGGAGGCACCCAACTCTGAATGATAAAATCATATCTGAAATTACCAGGTCAACATATCGTACCTCAGAGGATTAGATTATCTCTACTTTTAATATCCCCCTGGGAACAATTTTCTACTTGTTCTACTCCCCTGATTATTGCTGACCTTATTAAAATAAAATCAGAATTATCTGGGCTGTGTTATGTATGGTGTCACTACTGTAGGCCAGATATCACAATAACTGTTTTGTTACTCAATAGAGATGGACTCATACAGAGTAAAATCACAGCTGGCCTTGTTAAAATATATAGGAAATGATGTTTTCATTCTAAAACAGATAGGAAATCATGTTTTAATTAAAAAAAGAAATCTAGGTGATTGCACTACTTAGCTCACTTTATCTTTAAGGGACACATATAATAAACTGGCCATTTCTGACTTCCAGTTTTGAAATTTGGATTGAAAAATCACTATCATGCCCAAGAAAGAAAACCCAAAACTGAGTAAGAATCAGAGAAGGAAATATGAAAGTCATATGTATCCCAGTATTTCATGAATGACTATTTTTACAGACACCAAAGAACCACATTGTTTAAGATACATCATAAAACTTGATACTGGAGATAAAAAATAACATCACATTTTTCTGAATCACATAGGATTTTGAAATAACACATGGAGCAATAAGTAAACATAATGTTGTGCTCCAAATGTAAAATAATGCTTTAAGAAAACAAACAAACAAGCAAGCAAACAAACAAACAAACAACAAAACACCCTGAAAACCTTTGTGCAAATGGTTGCATTTTTACCACTTAGGATGAATTGTTCTGAAAGGATCTGAATCTCCTCAACTCCACCCTGAACAGAGCACTGAAGTTTATCTGGAATGTCTGGGCTATGTTTTAAAGGAAGTTTCTTTAGACTGTGCTTAGTAATCTGCCTGGGGTCCAACATTCCAGTTTTAATTTTGTCCACTCTTCTTATTCCTCCAGTTTCAGTTTCACCTGTCACTTTTTCATTTCATTTAAGGGAATGATGATGCATATGCAAAAAAAAAAATAAAACCAACCTATGTCAAGTCTAAGATATGGCTGCTGGGTTTAAATGCAAAACAGAGATTTGTGGGTTTTCAGCACCTCCATTCTTGGCAGTCTATTGATAGGAGCCTTTGAATGAAGCTCTCAGTCAAGGACGTGCCCATATCTTTCTCGACACTACCCTCAAGGCAGTGTGCCCATTTAAGCTCTCATGGCATTTTGCTTCAGGTATACATTTCCCCGATAACCCGAAGCTTTTCCCACATTGGTGTATGTCTGCACAGTGTAAGGACAGAGAGATCGTTACAGTTCAATCACCGAATTCCCATCATTAACTGTACTTCATGTCACAGTTTTAAAGAATTCAATTTAATGGTAGAAAGCCACTGGGTAAACCCAGCTCCAGTTCCCTTAATTAACAGGTCTGTGGGGTGGTCCTGCCCCAGCCTGCCCCCACCCTTTCAAGTATAGATCTGTTTTCAAGGGAATGCAGAAGAAAAGGGAAGCTGTGGGGACCGGTGAATGCACATTTCTAGACTTGGGATGTTACACTCCCCTGTTGTGATGAGTTCTCATTGATCCAGGGGTGGTTCTACTGCAGTCTTCATTCACCTCTTACTGGAGTGTCTCTTTCCTCCCTTCCTGCTGACTGGTCATTGCCCTTTAGCGTTTCCACTGAAATGCTACAAAAATCAAACTGCTAAAGGAATGTAGTTATGTGGAAGTAGCTTTGGGAGATCTTGAGTAGGTGACAGACTGGGGCGGGAGAGAGAGAAGGGAGGAGGCTGACCTGGGGTTGGATCCTAGCTCAGTGGTAGAGCACCTGCCTAGCAAGCACAAAGCCCCATCCATGTTCAGTCCCTAACACTGAGGAAAAAAAGCAAAGGCTAACCTAAATGGCTTATTAAAAGGAGGTTCTTCAATGCCTGAAATGCCATAAGCTTGTGTATCTGTGGGGCATTTAAGATGGCAACATCTTTATCCAATCATTCTTTCATTTACCTAGACAATTCAATGAGTGACATGATAACCATTGTCACACCAAAAATTACTGCTTGTTAGTTTGTATGTCCACTGCATGTGCATTGTCACAAATACTTCAGGGTTTTCATTCTTTAATAGCTATTGTTTTATTTCTCTTTAAAGACTAGGAAGTGTTCTTGTATGTTGATATCTTATTTAATACAGCCTTTCGCCTGGGCTTGATCCATTGGTTGGTAAATTAAGATCTAAAGAGAAGACTTGTGTCCAATGTTATAAACTGGTAGGTGGTGACAAGTTAGGATTCCTATTTGAATCTCCCAGCCCCAAGCTCAGCATGCTCCCAAATATGCTCTATTTGCTTCCTAAGTCCTAGTCACTCAATCAGCACCCCACTTCACCTATGTCATTTGTGTGGGTCTGCAATGCCTGAAATATCAGTAGGTTAGGGTGTGAAGAGAATAACGCAGAAATGTCTAGAACCACCTGAGACTCAATGACAAAAGAAGAGAATAAGTAAGCTGACCTCCCCCTCACCAAAACACACCACACACACACAAACACACACACACACACACACACACACACACACACACACACACACGGGGGAAAAAGAGCAGTCCCTATCCCACATGCAAGCCACGGCACTGCACAAGCTTGCCCAAGAGGTTCGTCTCTAGGGTTTAGTTTTCTTTGCTGATAAATATGGGGAGGCTGATGACACTCCCCCTGTAAAATTCTCCAGCATGTCTATGAGAGAATGACTAACATGGGTAGAGTGTGTGTGTGTGTGTGTGTGTGTGTGTGTGTGTGTGTGTATGTGTGTATGTGTGTATGTGTGTATGTGTGTGTATGTGTGTGTATGTGTGTGTATGCATGGTGTGTGTGTATGAGTGTGGTGTGAGTGTGGTGTGCATGTGTGGTGTGTGTGTGTGGTGTGTGTGTGTATGTGTGTGGTGTGAGTGTGGTGTGCATGTGTGGTGTGTGTGTGTTCGCTCTTGCGTGCTCACAGATGCAGGGAGGCAAGTGTTCCTAGAGAGCAGGGTAGATTGGCAAGGCCCGAGTTCTACCTTCTGCCCTTCTCTGGAGGAAGCTGTCCCAAAATGCCTCTAGCCATTCACACCCTGTTCCCTGCCCATTCTGCCACTGCAGAGCTATGAAAAGGAGGTATCTTGGGAGCACACAGGTATGAGCTGACCTCCTGTCTCCACCTCACTCTCTTGAGTATGAATTCTGTGGCAGTTGAATGACCTCTCTTGAACCCCCATTTTCTCCTATAAGAAGTAGGGATAATTATCCTCTATCTTCAAAGCACACTGACTAAAAACAGCTAGTGAGTGACCAAAATTCAATCTTAAGTGTGTCTGATTCTAGCCTTGCAGCTCTTCCTGTGAAGACTGATACACAATGCCCAGGCTTGACATACAGGCGATATTCTCTCAGATGCTCTGGGTGTACAGGGAAGGGATAATGACATTTGGGCCCTGTTGAAGTTTAGGTTGTTTAGAGGATTTGCAGAAGACCCTGTGAAGGAAGAAGAAACAACAAAACAAAACGAAACAAAATCTCTCAGAAGGCAATGACAGGTCAAGAGGTTGGGTCAGACCCATCAAATGCATGGACAGCTTGTTGTTCAAGACTTCGAGTTTAAAAAGCAAGATGGGTTTCAAGTTCTAGCCTAGAAATAGGAATGCATAGTGAGTGAGCTTTCATACTGGCAGGGGCAAGATACACCCACTTAGATGCCTCAGCAAGGGGCCTGACTGCAGAGTGGAGGAAGCACCTGGAGGAGGCATGCTCTCACCTTGAAGAAGCCCTTGCAGCCTTCGCAGGTGCGTACCCCATAGTGCTGGCAGGCGGCATTGTCCCCGCACACCGCACACGTGCCCTCGCCGGAGGATGAGCTCCTGTTGGGTGGCGATGGTAGGCTGGGGCTCTCTCCCAGCAGGCTGGACGCGGTAGGGGATGCTGTGAGACCCAGCGGTGGGAAGGTCAGCGTGGCCGTCCTCTTGGCCAGCGGGAGCCCATACGGGTGGCCCTCGAGCGCAGAAGCTTGGCT